ATTTTTACCAATATCATCTTTAGTGTTTTGATGTCTAAGACAAATAATTGTGTTTGTCCGAAATAAGTTTTTGCTTTTGTGGTTAAATCGTTAACAGTTCAGGTCATGCGCAAAGACACAGATGTTGATTTTAAAATTTATGTTGTAAGAGAAAATTTTTTGTGGTTGAATTATTACGATTATGAATACGTCAATTTAATAATTTTAATATAATGGAGGTAACTTATTACGGAAGGTTATAATTTACTTGTTTTTAAACTATTAGTTGTAACGTAGATATTTTTAACGTTATCTATTATAAGTATTTCATAACATTTGTACTATATGCATAATTAATTTTGTTAAGTGTTGGTTTTAATTTTTTTTAATAAAGATAGCTTCAAGAATTTGTAGTTTCTGCTTAGTAATTTCTTGGTGAACTATACAGGTATTGTCAACTAATATGCTTCTAAATTGTGAATGTGGACAAGAATGTGTAGATGTTGAGCAATGGATGATGAATCATTTAAGTGTAGAGTGAGCCTTCGAGATTGTCGCATAACCAACATATATAGCTTTTTTGTCGGAGATGTAATCTCCCAAGCGATATTTAAATTGATATATAATGTTGTTTTTTGCTATACGTTAATTGGTGGGGAGTAGTTATTGCGAATGATTTAGTTAGTAGTATTGAATTTAGTATCATATATAATTAATTTCACTTTTTTTTTACTGGGATCTGTGGGGGATATATTAGTATTTATGAGTTTTTTAGATTTTCTTCGTCTTGTTTATATTTAGGATGCATCTGATTACGACATAAAGATTGATATGTTTAGGGTTATTTGAGGACATATTATATTCTATATCTATATTATTTCATCTACAAGGTAGGTGGGGAAGTCAGGGCTTCATTCACCAACTTAAACAAGGAGACCGTCCAGAAAATTTGGAGGAGATTCTGAAGTCGTCTGAAGCCAATGGCGATTTTATTGAATAAATTTACTTTAGTATTTCAAGATATTTTTCTGTAATTTTGGTAAATATATCTGTTAAAATTAGATGTCAGTGTTATTTTCATATTTGCATGATTTAGATATCAATTTATCCATCGCAACCTGTATAATATATATTACAGATATTTTATATATATAATATATATAATATATATATATATATATATATATATATATATATATATATATTAGATAAATATATAGTTTTAAGTATGCTATATTTATGGGCTAAAGTGCTCAATATCGGGGATAGAGCGTATGTCAATATAAAAGTGGACGTTTAAGTCACCACCCAGCGGCGCCAGTCTGTTTCATACTTGAACGCAATCGTCAGGCCATTGTGTAAACAGACTGTTACCTCTAGGTGTTGACTTCAATGTTATGTTTTTATATATATATATATATATATATATATATATATCGTGAATTCCAAGCGTCACATTAAATTGTCTATCCTTATTTACAAAAAAAACTTGGTAATTACTTTTTTTGCGGGGGAGGTTTTATCATGCAAACTCCTGAATTTTTTATTTATAAATAAATTTAAATGATGCAGTTTTTGGTTCATAGATATAATATTACTTTGCATAAGTATAATTATTATTGTCTTGCATGTATATGCACCTTACCTTAAAACTTCTTTGTTGTACAAGTGACACTTAAAAACGACCTATAGAAGAAATTACAATAATTCTCAACATTAATTTTGGCAGCATCATTAGCTTTGAATTCAGTTATAATTTTATTGCCTGGAATACAAACCAAAAATATTGTTTGGCCTACTATTTGTTATCTTCTAAGGGGTGTTTGTCGCTTATCTTCTAAAGCATATTTATTGCGTTAACTTCTAATGCGTGTTTGTTGCCTTATCTTTTAAAGCGTGTTTGCTGCCTGATCTTTTAAAGCGTGTTTGTTGCCTTATCATTTAAAGCGTGTTTGTTGCCTGATCTTTTAAAGTGTGTTTGCTGCCTTATCTTTTAAAGCGTGTTTGTTGCCTGATCTTTTAAAGCGTGTTTGTTCTCTGATCTTTTAAAGCGTGTTTGTTGCCTTATCTTTTAAAGCGTGTTTGTTGCCTTATCTTTTAAAGCGTGTTTGTTACCTGAGCCTCCAAAGGCGTGTTTAATACTTTATCTTTTAAAGCGTATTTGTTGCCTGATCTTTTAAAGCGTGTTTGTTGCCTGATCTTTTAAAATGTGTTTGCTGCCTTATCTTTTAAAACGTGTTTGTTGCCTTATCTTTTAAAATGTGTTTGCTGCCTTATCTTTTAAAGCGTGTTTGCTGCCTTATCTTTTAAAATGTGTTTGTTACCTGAGCCTCCAAAGGGTGTTTGTTGAATTATCTTTTAAAACGTGTTGTTGTCTGATTTTAAAGCGTGTTTGTTGCCTTAACATCTAAGGCGTGTTTATTGCCTTATCTTGTAATGCGTGTTTGTTGCCTTACCTTCTAAGGCTTGTTCGTTGGGCGTCTACTCAAACACATGTATCCACTAAAATAACGTTTAGAGTAATAAGAAACATTTTTCAATCTAATAATAAGCCAATTGCTTTAGATGATTAATCAAATAAACTGTTTAACTCAAAGTTTCCTTAGGTTTTATGGGTGTCACAATATTAGACTTCTCCCAACTAGTTTACACATACAGTCAATAATAATAATAATGGCGAGTTCTACATCAATAAAATATCCTTAGAAATTCCCCTCTCGCATCGTTAAATATTTGGGCTTAAAAATTTTAACAAAATATGACAATAGCAATCATAAATATGAATGCTGGTCATTATTTTAAGAAGTAATTTGAAATTGACAACATTTTCCATTTCACTGAAACAGACGTTAAACACATCTATCTTCCCTTCTATCTTTCTTTCTTTTTCTCACTGAAACCAAGTAGTGCCTTTTCTCCTCTTTCTACGCGATCAAAACGGAATAGTTCATTATTTATGAGGCAGGATGTAACGGTTGTGCGATCTAATAAAGTGGGTGACAAGCACAATTATTATAAAATAATAATAAGTTTTTTTTTTTTACATCTTGCAGTTACATTTCTTATATGCTCAGCATATGTAAGCTAAGAATGTTATCTATCCTCTCCTCTCACATGGATGAAAAAATTCTTTTTCAATCATTAAAACGAAAAATATCGTAAAAAGTTAATACAAACCAAAAGGCATGAAAAATAATGAATGAGGATCCTATCTTTCCTTACTTACTAATGAGATATTCTGCTGCTATGCTAACACGAGGCATGCTCCGTTAATTTTTTTCTGTTGCCATCACAACGGAATACCTCATTAGTATGAGAGACGACGCAGTGTGACATATAAAGTCGAATTGTGTTTTATATTATAGAATAAATTATCAAGCAATATTTTTAGCAGCAATGGAAGAAAAAAGAAAACTTAAATCTATGATGGCTGCAGATGTTTTTCAATTTTATTTTTTATGTTTTGTGGATCTTTAATTTTGTTTTTTATATTTCAGAAATTCATATATCTGCTTATATTTAGTGGGTTATTAGAAATAATAACCATGAGTTGATTGTCGGGAAAATAATAGTTTTATTTTTTAAATAGAAAATTCTAAAAAAGAAAGAAAGAGGAGAGTGAAAGAGAAGGAGAAAGAAATAGAGAGGGAAAAAGAAAGAAAGAAAGAAAGAAAGAAAGAAAGAAAGAGAAGGAAAAAGAAAGAGAAAAAGGTGGAAACAGAAAGAAAGAAAGAAAGAAAGAAAAAAAGAAAGAAAGAAAAAAAAAGAGAAGAAAGAATGAGAGAGAAAAAAGGAAGAGAAAAGGAGGATAAAGAAAGAGAGAGAGAGAGAGAGAGCGAGAGAAAGTAAGAGAGAAAGAGAGACATCTGCGTATTGAAATATTTGACAACTAAAGCTTACTTCGGAATCAGAATCAGACTAAGCAGAAACCAATAACGAAAAATATATGTAGTCGGTTTATATATATATATATATATTATATATATACACACTCCTTGTCCAGTTGAAGTAGATTTATCTGTAACCATGGAAACGTGATTTTAGCTGTGTCTTTAAAACCCAGTAATTTTAAAAGTTACTCCAAAATTCGCTTGAGGATGAAATGGAACTAATGTCTTTAATTTAATTGCAAAATTAAATTCGTGGCTTTTAGCTTCCATTTTTGAAACATGGTTAGAACTGTGTAGCGGAAAAAAACATATTTTAAATCAATTAATTTATAATATATATATATATATATAAGTTTTTGTCATCATCTTTCATTCGTATTAATTTATAAATATAATTATTTTTTGTATTATACAGGTATGGACGGTGCCGGCTGTAAAAGAATCTGTGATGCCCTCAAGTTTAACACTGCCTTGCGAGAATTGGACATAAGCTTTGTAGACCTCGGTGATGACGGTTGCGTTCATATTGGCGAGATGCTACAGCAAAATAAAACACTTAAGAAACTCCGGTTACGGAGTAGTTGCATAACCTGGGCGGGCTGTGAGTTTCTGTTCAATGCTTTGACCAACAACACATCTCTCACAGACATCGACTTGAGTCGCAACTTCATCGGTAACGAAGGTGCCGATATCGTAGCTCGGCTTTTGGCCAAGGAATCCTATTTGCGTGAATTGAACCTGGAAAACTGTGGGCTTACAGCACTCGGCTGCAACCAGCTCTCGCAGGCCCTGATCAAAAATATTCGCCTCGACAACCTAGACCTCAGCAATAACTTTATCGGAGACACGGGCGCTCGGAAACTTTCCGAAGCAATTGAGGAAAACACATGCCTCAGGTGTTTAGGGCTAAACATGTGCGAAATTACGAACGACGGTTTTGAGCGTATACTGGACGCTCTTGAGTGCAATAAATCTCTGCACGCACTGAAACTATGTTATAATCGACTTGGCCGTGACACGACCAGTCAAACGGCCAGTTCGGAGAACCTTCGTTATCGTGTACGAATTGTCACATCGTCTCGACCGAAGCTGAGATTACTTTTGTGGGGAAACACTTTTGAAGAATCCTAGCAGAATACAACTGCTGGATTAACAGCAACAAATCTTTATATTCATTTTAAATGTTTTAAAAATAATCTCAGAAACAAGTTTTAAAAAAATCTCAAACATTCTTTCAAATCTGGTCGGATATTTTCAAAACGAGGTATTATGGGCTTTTATGTGGCTAATATCCTCATCAAATTATTTCAATTTTCTTTCTTTTTTTTTCAGTCTAAGGTTTGTCGACATGTTCCTCCAATAAGCTATATAAATATAATAAGCTATATAAAATATAAATATAATAATATAAGATATGATATAAATATATGTTTTTACTTATAGTATAGTATTTTGCGTTATAACTAACAGAACGCTCTTTGGACAAAAGTATAAAGAAAGCTGCATTTTTACGTTGTTGTCCCAAAGGTAAACCGTTCGCTTCACCAAGTGAGAAATAAAAGGGTAAGTGAAGTGAAAAGGTTTTCTTTTGTTAAGATAAAAATGCAGCAAGGCAAAAACTATGTTAATCACTCGAACAATGCGATAGGAAATTATTGAAGGCTCACAATATTAACAAAACTGTTATAAATATTTGATTGAATATTTCAAGGAATCTTAAATGTATAAAATCTCTCAAAATCACAAGTAAAAATAACTTCTTTTTTCCTCCATTTTCTTCTCTCTAAGAAACAATTCAACTCTTAATCTACCTTTATTGAGGCCATTTTTGTATCCAGCCTCTTTTCATTTCCCGTTTGCAAAAAAATTGATTATGAATATATATATGTGTATATATGTATCTGTATGTATATATTTATGTGTATGTATATGTGTGTGTGTGTGCATGTATGAATATATGCATAGCGTTACGACCATGAGACCCGGGTTCGATTTCAGCATGCAGGGCCGTTGGGGAGTACTTGAAACCCATACGATGCGTTAGCCCAAACCCTCTGATTGAAATTGAGTCGACGAAATTGTTCGGAGGCTGTCGAGGGTTGGGCTAGCAAGAAGTCATAAGTCATCGTGACCAAGGGTTTGGGTGAACTGGCCTTGTTTAAACTGTTAAGTCATGCCAGAGTATACACTCTCTCCCAGAAACAGTAGCTGCAGTATAAATCACAAGTTGGCTCTATGGGCGTTGAAGAAGCACAAATATGCCTGAGCGGGCGTCTACAAACAAGGATTAGCTAGCCGCCCTAGCAAACGGGTGTACTCAGAAACGAGTAACAAGCCATTATATATATATATATATATATATATATATATATATATATATATATATATATATATACAAATATCTCTCGGATATTAGTTGAAATAAGATTTCTTTTTACTGTAGTGTTGATTAGTCATATGGATTTTTATGGAGCTACTATCGAATAAGTGGCATTTGATTACAACAGAATAATTTATTTTTGTAACATAAGCGTAAACATATATAAAAATAAGAATAGAAACAAAAATGAATTAACTTATTCTGTTATTCAAATGCAGAATAACAATAAACAAAGTGAAAATATATGAACAGCATAATACATAGATATAGTGATTTTTCAAGCGTAGCTTAGATGTGGTACGAGGTCGAAAGTAGTGGGAACCTAGTGAGGATCGAACTGACAACTCATTCGTAATTGTTCTAGCGAGACAAGCCTACTAACCATTACAACGCTTCGAGGTGCCCCATAATACATATCTTCTAATTAAATATATATATATATATATACGATAAAAACTTAAGACCTTAACTTACCACAAATGATACAACAAAATGACTACCGAAAACAAATCTGGTAAATAAAACCAATGTAGTGCATGAATTAGCATGCTCTTTTGGGGATTGTATCTCTAATACAACTATTACTACTAATAATAAACTTATAAACTATACATTGGACATAAAACTACAACTCTATAATGTTGACTAATATGCACTTATCCGATAGTATCTCCATAAAAAAAATCGTATTAGTAAGCAACACTACAATGAAAGATAAGCTTTTACTCCGAACATCATCCGTGAAATACTTGTAAAAAACATAAAACTATTATAAAACATATATATATATATATATATATATATATATATATATATATATATATATATATATATGTGTGTGTATGTATGTATTAGGTATGTGTATTGTTTTGTATGTCTATGTAAATACACACCATACGTTACAAATACAGTATATGTTACAAACACAAAAATTATTTGATTTGAATGCTTCCAATGTTTTCTGATACTTTATAAAAAAGGAGTTTTGTCTGTTGTTTTCTGAGCGTTTGCTAGCTGTTGATTTGCTATTTCGTGAGCGTAAAAATTGGCAAAATCATTAAGGTTCGAAGAAATATAAGATGAAATCTCGATCGACATAGCTTTTTTGTCTCTATCCTAGTCCGTATAATTGAGCATAAATTGAAGTTGTGAATGCCGATATAAAAAGGAGAAAAAAAAAAAAAAAAAACAGAAACAAAACAAAATATTAAAAACACGGAAACAAAATGATATGAACAAAGATTCAGCGGTGTAGGCTGCAAACTATTCTGTTAAGGTAAAAAGAATGAATGGACTCAACATTTAGAACCCGTGTGTCTTGCTTCTCATTGTGCAAGCCACCAGGATACATTATGCATTTACGCTTTCTGAACGCATTTGTTTCAAAAGTTTCTATTTTTTATCTGAGTTTTTTTTTTGGGGGGGGGGGGCATCAGTTTCCCAATATAAGTGTGTGTAAAAAGTTTACAGCGTATTTTTATTTTTTAGAACTAAATTGAATGCACAGTTGAAAACCGGTTTTACGCTGGATACTTTTTTTTGCATATACCTAATACATCAAACAAAACGATCGCACGTTGATATTATAAAGTATAAAAGTACAAAGTATAAATTATTACGAGTGTTTGTTCAATTTTTCAATCCAGTTAATTCTCCAAATTTTTATTACAAATTTTAAAAAAGCTCTTCTCAAAAGACGACTGATAGGATCAAAATTACACGTGATTTTTAATAAGTACTAAACAACCCTATAACCCACTCTTCGAGAGAAAATTATAATGTATAAAAAAGATTATCATTAAGTTCGCTCCCTTGCAGATTATGCTCCCTTCTGTGGATTATAGGCAAAAGAGGAGCTATTTTTTGTACCATATTTTTACTTATACGAAAATAAATAAAGAATAATACACTATAATTCAAATTTAATAGTTGAAATTTTTTTTTTCACTCCAGCTCGAAGGTAAATCCCACAATATTACTATTCGTTTGCAGCTCACCTGTTTTTTTTTCTTCTTTTATTTCATTAAATTAACACATTTTAAGTTTACAACGCACCGTTTCTGTTCCTTAGATGTTGCACAGAGGTCTAAAAACGTCAGACTTTTTATAACGATTTAAGTCTTGTTTAAAATAGGGTTGTCAGATTAGAGAAAATTAGAAATACAGGACACTCTTAAAATCTCTCTATCTCATATATATATATATATATATATATATATATATATATATATATATATATATATATATATATGTGTGTGTGTGTGTGTGTGAATTTACATGCCTACACACCCAGACCAATATTATATAAAAATAGAGACATAAAAACATAACGCAATGATTTTATGGGTTATGAGTAAAATAAAAATAAAATCATTTGAAAATTATTTAAATACAAGCTAAGAAAAAGAAATTATGTAAAAGTGAAATCATTTGAAAATATTTATTTAATACAGACAACACAGAAATAAACACATCAGTATTGTGTAAACTTCTAGCAACACTAGTTTCCTCGTTACCCTTGGGTTATTTTCATCAATAGAATCCAAGAAAAGAAAGTATAATTACTTACAACCAAGAACCGTAAGAAGGTAGTAAAATATATATTTCTTATTAGCAAACTTGAAAATGAACTTAATACAGGACATTTAAGGTGTCCCTGAAAATGTCAGTATGGGACAAAAAATATACAGTGTAACCCGGATATAAGAGAGTTGTCGGGACCGGAGAAGAAGTCTCTTATATCCGGGTTTCTCTTATATCCGAGTTTGGTCTATTTTGTTTAGGTAAGTATGGCTATAATTTGGGACCAGAGAAAATCTCTCTTATATCTGGGTCTCTTATATCCTGGTCTCTTATATCCGGGTTACTATGTATAAGAAACGTCTGGCAATCCTAGTTTAAAACAAAACTGCTATGATTAGTTTGTGGCTACCTTTTTCTTATGAACAAAACGCGATCGCTTTCTCAGTATTTATTTCAACGATTGAATTGTATAAAATAATCTGTTGGGTATATAAACGTAACTAATTTATCTAATCAAATAAGATGATATATAAATAACAATTGTCCATTTTTTCCTTTGGCTCAGCAAGATAAATATATTTGTTTATTCGTAATTTTTTCAGAATCTCAGGAGTGTGTACACCGTAGAAAGATTGTTAATTTTCTCATTATTTACAGAAAAGACATTTAGTACAATCTTTTTACTTTCTACGCCCCGCGATTATGGCTGCCTTTTCATCGATACGTTCTTAAACTCTATCCTGCCTGTTTCTGCCTTCGGTAAAAACCTCTGAGCACAATTTGGAAGAAATTGGTATACAAGCTTATTTTTATGCACCTCTACGTATAAATTAACCAAGACATTTCAGACGTCCCCGATTTTCTATATAACTGGAGCAATAAAAAATGGATCCTTTTATCACTATGATTCTTCTGTACAGAATCTGGCGATAACAAATAAACTTTTTCTTCAAAACAAATCTCTCAGGCATTTCGTTTAAATAAATAGCTATACTCAGTGAATTAATCCATAAAAATAAAATAAACAGCAGAAATTAGTCACTTTATCATTATTATTATTATTTTTAAAAAAATAAACGAAACATGAAATATATTTAACTCTATGCCATACCAAAAATATATGGTCAACTCTGTTGAAAACTTGTCAAAACCTGATGCAAGTTTCTGCCTTTCATCTTTGTTCTTGTTACTTTTTTTTTTTTTTTTTGAATATGCACGGATTTTTCTT